AAAAACAAAATTTCTGAATATGAATAATGTACTATCTTTCAGAAAGGACAACGGACTTAAAATCACCAAGTTTAACTTTAAAAGAGTGAGGTAAAATATAATCATTATACCATAGAACGACAGCGGGATATACCCGTATATCAAATTGATAATGATGGATTTATGGTGAATGCCTCAATGTTGCGATGGATTTGGTCTAACGGCTATAGTTATGGAGACAATTTTTAAAAAATTTAAACATTACAGATGATACGAGATAGATCGATAAGAATTGAGGTCGTTTCTAGGAATATCGATGATGGATGATTGCCATTCATAAGGAATAAACTCCGTTTGAATAATTTTAGTAAAAGATTCGGGAAGGAACAGCAGTTGCGATAGGAGAAATATTAATCTAAAATGTATCAGGAACTAAATTGGGCTAAAATTTAATTTTAGCCCAATTTAGTTCCTGTTGGTAACTTCGAAATTTAGTTAAAAGTTGGTAACTTCGAAATTTCATGTTGAATTTGTGAAAAAGACAAAGAGATGTGGGGGTGGCTTACTTATTCATCACAAAAAGAGGCGAAAAAGAAGCTTTATCAGAAGTATTAAAATAAACGTTCGAGTTTTTCATAAACCTTATACACCTTATGATGAGAAATTAGTTGCGATTTTAACGCAGTGCGTTTAAAAATTTTAGGAATAAAACCCTTGAAAATTCCAACCGGTTTACCACGGAATTAAAATAATCAACATAGCTACTTTGACAATCCTCGAAGAATTTGAAAACTTTATTGTTTTAAAATTAATTTATCCTTGTTTTACGTTAATTTTAATTAATTTAAACGTGAGTGCTGATGGTGTTATTTTAAAAAAGTGGAAGATAGTAAATTAATATCGTGTATAAACTGTATATGTTGCCCATACCATCGTAGAATAGTTAGGCAGCAATTGCTTAGTGGTTGGGCCTACCAGTGGTCAAGCGGTTCTGTTCCCTGAACACTGGGAGTTCGGTCGTGGGTTCAGCGCCTCGCCAAGACGGGCTGGGCACGTGGAGTTTTCCGGGTTTTCTCCACCTGAAGGGCCAGTTACCCTTAAAAAGATCTCCCGGAAAGCTTCTCCCCTGGACAAATCGCCTAACTGTTGCGTTACCATAACTTAATAAAACAAACAGCTGGGTGGTTGTAGACAGCATGAACTTCGTACCTATCAATTATCATCTCTACGTATTATAATATTATCCATATCGCCATAATATAAATATTTCACTATAACTGACGTGTACTAATACAATACAATATATTATGCATATTATTAATACAAATTTGCTTAGTTTTAATACAGCATCGTGTTTATATTACTATATAATTTCTATTAACAATAAGAGATGGCGTTACAATCTTTAGCTGGAAAATACGTCGCTAATGTATTAATAATTAGAAGCTTAAAATTTATTTTTAAAAATTTTCTTTAGCTATACATTTATATGACGAATGATATGCAATAAATATCAAACTTTAATAAAAATTTTATCGAGGAAATCATATTATAAACTTAATATATATAAGTTTAAATCATATTAAACTTATATACTGTATATATACAGGTGTATTTATACATATACTAATAATGTAATTAATATACAGGATGCGCCACGAATAGGCGTGAAATGCTAGGAAGTTCAAGTCGTATGTGAGCAGGGGCTAGTTTTTGTTGCAAGAATGGAAGAAACGTCTCTGTTAATTCATTAATGCCAGAATTTAGTTTTGACGATTGAGAAACTAAAACCAAGTTAAAGAGTAATTAAACGACAATACAAAATGACAAGAATCTGATGCGCTAGAGTACAGATTACAGATTTAAATTTCGTCACAACTTATGTTTGAACTGGTGGTCAATTCTCAGTGAGGCAGTGGTAGTAAAGCCTGTGTTCAAATGAGGTAACATATGAGAACAGCCTTTACTACTGTCTCGCTCAACACGTCCCTCATCACCCGGCTGCCCCATTGAGAGCTTGCTAAAAATGCTCTCATAGGGAGGAAAGAGATAAAAAAAATATATCTTAAAAATATAATACGAATCAATAGTAATAAAAGTCAAATATAGATTACGTACAAATACGTAAGCTATCTAAATTATCGTATAAAATTTATAAATATCCTTATTTGCGAAAGAGATAAATAAATGTTTTCATAATTTATCTTAATAGTTACGATTTCTCCAATGAAATATTTTCAGAAAAACTGTTACACATGATTTCAAAACTTAAAAATTTTCATATTTAGGAAAATTTATATATAAAAATTCAGTAAGAGAATGTTCTTTTGATCCGAACAAATGTGATGAAATAAGTACAAATAACAGACAGAAAATCAACGGTTAATGTCCAGAGTCGTAAACTGTCATGGCGGGTCTTCCTGTTTTAGCCTCGAAACCGGACCGCTTCGGAGACGACGTGTCACTTGACGACGCGAGGGAATGGCGGCGGCTGTCATTACGGCTCACCGCTGATTCCAGCAAACAAAAGGAAACAGTGGAGACGCACGTTCTAACCTAACNTTTGCATAGAACATAAATTTGTGTTTATGATCTAATTAGTATCTAGCATAACCTAATATAATATTATTGACAGTTTATTTATATACTCTGTGGCAAAAAAGTCAACGCATCTTAAATCCGACATGCGATAGTAATCATATTCTGCGTATGGAATAGCAGTAAAAAGCGAAATATTCATTACAATATTACAACACAAGGATACATTATTAAAGAATAGAAACTAAGTGTATTTTAAAATCCTAACATAAAATAAATCTACTAGATATTACTTAGTTTTATAGTATTCATAAATCAAGTGTATAATTCATTGATATCATACCCAAACTTTTTTATTCAGCTTTTAAATTAGAAGTGATGTTTTGGTACTAGAGGTTTCTCCTTCTTTAGACGAAAATGTATACATAAAGTAATATTATACGAGTATATTCATTGTCTATATGCTTAAAATGATATTTCAAATAAAATACAATTATCATATGAGCATTTTTTATCCATAATTGTGTTTATCAGCCGCTTTAATTAAGAATGATGGGATGGCTTTCTGACGGTAGCTCTTTTTTTTAATAAAAATAAAAATATGGTTTAAAAATTAAAAAACAATTTTATTATCAAAAATTTTTAAAAATAGTCAACTTATGGACCATAAATATTATTAACAAAATTAAAATAAAGTCGAAATGTCGGTAGATAAAATGCGTATTAGGCATGTGACGCTTTTTGAGTTTCGTAAAGGATATGACGGTATACAAATAATAAAAAATATTCGTAATGTGTATGGGGAAAATGATCCTAAACTTCGAACATGTCAAATGTGGTTTTAAAAGTTCCGTTCGGAAAATTTTGATCTAAAGAATACAAAACGGAAAGGCGTTGAAAAGCTTCGAGAAAAAAAAAAAATTGCTAGAAGACATTGTTAAAGCTCGACGAATAACAACTCGTGAACTTGTATCACCCAATAGAGAATTATGGACCTTTGAGGCCCTAATTTTTTTATAAGACCCTTTATGTAAAAGTGTTACTTTTTTTAATATTGAAAAGACAATAAATTTAAATAATAACATGCTGTTTCTTTAAAATATACAATTTTTAAACGTTCGCTAAATTTTAGAGGCATATTATCATTTTGATATGTAATGTTTGAGGTCCGTCGAGACGACGAGGCCCTATTCGCGCGTCTAGTGCGCCTATTGGATAATTCACATCTGACATGAATTGTTGAAACACTGTACAGATGCTCTCCTACTTACGAACGTTCAACTTACGAACTTTCAGACTTACAATTTGACCGTACGTCTAAAAACTTAAATCCTGCGCACATTCACTTGCTGATCGTGGGGTGGTGTTAAACTCAGTCTTTAACCAGTAATAAATAATAAATAATTAGTGTAGATTTATTTCTATCACATATCGTCATTTTTTGTTTTCGCACGAATTATGACGTGCCATTGTCCTCGTGAAGTGACGTCGGAGTAAGGGATTTTTCTTTGTTGTTTTGCAATAGTTAAATTGCAAAAAATTGCAATTTAACTATTGCAATTTTTATAAACTTTTATGATTAATTCTTCAGAAATGCAAGTAGTGGAGATAAATGCAAGAAGTGTCGCTCTATTACCGTGGAAACTAAACCTATCCATAAAAAATTAAGTGCATTAGATTAAAAAATAATCTGCATATGAAACACCTCTACTAAGCAGTAACGAGCAGATAAATAAGCTTAATGTGTTCTACTAAATATATTGAAGAATTAAACACTAATAATACGTGGTTATTCTGTGTACAAATGTACTGTACTTTCTAGGATAGTTTTCGACTTACAACAACACCTCGGAAACAACCTGACCGCAAGTAGAGGAGCGCCTGTGTACATATTGCATTTATTCTGTACTTTAATTTGCTAAGCTTAATTCACGAAATACTAATAAAAAAATCTCATAATATGGCCCACAGTTTCAATAAAGAAAAATATTAAAATTAATTTCTAAAATATTTTTATATATTTGTGGATGGTGCAGTGAAGGTTGTTGCCACCCACATATATTGTGTTTTTTCTTTATCTTCTCACATTTATGTTTTGTAAATTTATTAATGTTTGAATGCTCAATAATTTAATTTTAACTAGTTTTTTTAATACATTTTCTACAACTGTAACTATTGTTAAATTATTAATGAATGGGCCTCAACTTTCGTGAGAAAAGGCAAGGACGAGAAGTAGTATGGGGACCGATAGTTAAAGCAAAATTTGTCCTGTCTTTTTTTCAGAAACGAGAAGCATAAACACAAAGATCATTTATTAAATAAAAATTTGAAGCTCGCTATCTCCAGATACAAAATGTACAGGCCTATTTTATATATATTTTAGATAAACACTATATTTTCTGTGTCATATCTAGGATGTTTTATCTATTATATCTTTTCGATAATATGATATCATTCGTCAGAATTATTTCATACGTGTGACGAAATAATTTCGTAACAATGCCAGATAGTATAAATATGTAGACGTTGTTCTGGAGATCTGCTTCACTTTCGACCAATTATTGAACAGTGACAAGCTTCTCGCAGTAAGTAAATCTATGTATTTGCATATATTTTTTAAATTAATTTTGATTATTTAAAAATTTATTTTGAATAAAATATTTAAAACAGTTCTGTAAAATGTTCTTAAACTTAAAATATAAAGTACATTTTATTAAAATATTTTATTTTAAATACTATTTTACGCAAATATTTTAATTTTTATTCATTTTTTAAAATGGCAATTGTTTGTCTTTATACAATTACTTGTTAATCATATTTTGTAACAAATATTATTTTTAAATGAATTGTTATCACGTTTAAGATAAAATTGTCTCTACATAAAAACTAAGATAAGATAATGGAGATTCTTATTGTTATCAAATTCTACCTCAGCTAATGAATATTTAGTGTAAAGGTTATAAAATAAATTTGTAGAAATTTATATTAAACATTCTGAAATTCTATACTTTTTCCGGTTGTTTAATATATACTTTCACTAGTTATTTAAAAAATAGTTCGTATAAAATATTGTTGATTATTTATGTTTCTATAAATAAATAAGTTATGTCAAAAGTAATATTTTCTTTCTTCGAAAATGTCAATTAAATCTTAATGTATGGATTAAGAAATGTAAAATTAGATTTTAAACATTTTATATTTGTTAAACTTTTTGTTAATTCGATATACAGTATACTAAAAATATTACTACATAAATTCAATATTATATTTTTCAGAAACAAAAGATATGAAGACGAGTGTCTGCATTTTCTTATTTTTCATTGGTAAGTATATTTCTGACTTGAAATAATAATTTAAAAAATTAAAAAACATTGTGAGACCCACCATTTCCCCCTCCAAATTTTGATTGTTATTATATACCTATATATATATATATAGGTATATAATATATATGTATGTATATATAGGTATATAGGAATATATATATATAGGCTATATTCGTGAATTATTAGTAACATTATCTGTATACTTTTAATTTTAATCAATTTATTTTAATTTTTTCGTTAATAATGTATTCTTTTTATATAATAAGTTGGAAATTTTATTGTATTTTATATCCCGTTTTGTTTCGTCTGGTTACACCCACATCTGTGTGAGTAAACGCGACACCAGGATTGTTTACGTTTATCAACCAACGTGTAAAGACATTTCGCCTATTTTTCCGATTTTAGGGACCTTCCTTTTCTAAAGTTTTAGTAATACCGATTTAAAATAATTCAGAAAAACAAATTAAAATTTAAAAAATTATCAATTAATTGTTATATAAATCACAACATGCAAAAGAAAAGACGAAGGGGACGACCGTCGTTTTCCCCTTTTTCAATGGTGTTAGATGGCTGGTGTTATTCCATCCATGTCACGTGGACGCATATAATTCTTAATAGAAAAGAGAGAAGGACTAAACAATGACCAATCATGCTTATCAAAAATTATTTTAACATCCTCTGGAACAAAATCAGGATTGGTCAAAATGAAGAATAAAATAAAAGGGAATGACGAATATCAGGGAGAGTGAAGGACTTAGTGAAAGACTTAGTGAGGGACTGAATGGAGGAGAAAGAAGACAAATAGGTAAAGAAGAAAGGGAAAGAAAGCGAAAGAGGAAGAAAATGAAGGAAAAGGAGAGAGGAAGAGAATACAGGAAGAAAAAAGGGAAAGGAAGAAAATCAACACATCTAGAAGAGAAGACAACTCTTTTCCTGGTATGTTGTGAGTCGCGACGTTCGGATACCCCCTGCTAGGTAACCCCCGTTTTACAAATAGTAATAGGCTAACTTCCTAAAACAGATTTTGTACTTATGTTTAACTTAAACTAAGTTCAAGTGTTAAGTTTTGTTTTTTATATAACAAATTTTCTCTTTTATTCGTAAATTAGTTTACTTGACTTTGTATTCATCTCCTGAGTGGCTCATTCTTGGACTCCCTTAACCTCGTGCCTTAACTATCTGCCTTTTGTTTTTTTGTCTAAATCGAAGGTGTGTTCGACAACACACACCTGATGGCAGGGTCCTACCTTAACCTAAACTCTCGTAATCCAATTTTTGACGGCCCCAAGCCTCCACAAATTTGACGAGTTTCATTACTGGCAAGTAAATAAATGAAAAAAAAAATTAAGTAATTTGTGACAATTATGAAAGTTAAAAAGTTTCTGTAATTCCAAATTATTATATTTCAGTAGAAAATCAAGAAAAATAACATTAATTAACGAAAGTTTTTCCAGTGCTTTGATACTTGCTCATTTCACAAACAGAAGTTTGTTTGCACAAATACGATTATAATTGATTTTATAGCATGTCAAACTTTAATTTGACGAGACTTTGATGGAATTTTTGACCTATTGGAATTTTGATTGTCGAAGTTTTGACTGGATCTCATATATTAAACAATGTATCAAAAATAAAAATTGTGGATTAGAATAATCTGAAAAAACTTTAAACGTTGTATTTTAATCATAAATTAAAGTAAATAATAATTTATTATTGCTTATTTCAGGCGTGGTTTTTGCAAGAACTCCGCAACAATCTAACCATTATGTGGACCTCGTGTTACGTTCAAATTTACCGCGAGAGGCAAGAAATTGGAATGTCGATCCCGCTCGTCTTAATAATTTTACTACACAACATAAAGACAAATTAGGCGGAATTAAAGTAAACGTCAATGTAGAGTACTATAATGTAAATATGACTGGATTGCTTAAAGTTCGAAGAGAAAAAGATTGTTCCGGTCTTCGTCGAGATTTTGGTAATGTCACTTTAAATTGCACTCTCGTCTTCAATGGCGTTAAAATCCATTATAACGTAAAAGCGAAATACGGAAAACTGCCTAAAGCTAATGGAAAAGTGACAGCCGAATTGTCTGGAGATACCGCATTTGCAGTATTTACAACTAGTATCAACCGAAATTACCCAGTTATGAAAGCCTTCTACTTCACTCGAAGAGGATCACCTAAAGTCAGAGTTAGTGGATTTGGACCTCTTAATGATACTGGAAAGAAATTAATACATAATGATATTTACGTTCATGCACAAAATGAATTCTTGAACGTAGTAAATTATAATTTCGTTCCTGCTCTAAAAAGAGCTGCCTCACAGAGTCCTATGCCGGCTATGTAAATACTTTGTATGCGTGAAAGAAAAAATCATGCATTATTCTGTTCGTAAAAAATACATGCAATAAAAAATTTTCAGTATTAAGTTTATGATTTTTTAAATTAATTTTAGTGCCAGTTAAAATTGAATATTAATAACTTAATTAGAATTGTTTTACCGTATAGAAAGTTCAGAGACGAATTGCATAACTTTCACGGCAAAAAAAAAATTAAAATTGTGTGTGGCGCCATCTGTTACGAGATTTTATTTAAAAATTTTTTTATATTATTAATTATTATAAAATGACAAAAAGCTTAATTTTGATGGTAGAGATATGTTTTATAATTTAAAAAATGGTAAATATTAATAACAAGTAAAATATCCATTAAGTCAGACTCATTCGAGGTATAACCCATGACCCTTGCATCTCCTCATCCCTCAAGTTCTAATCAACAAAATTTGACAATATTGATCCTCCTAATACACAAACCTCCGTACAAAATTTCAGAAATTTTCGCAAAAAGCACAGGAGTTATTAAGCTTAGAAGAGGGTGAACAAAACCATGTCGCCATACACAAACATCCATACATACAGAAAAAATACACAGTTGTTCTGCATTTGCAGGTTTTAAAGTGTTCTGAATTCAAAAATGTAAAAGTCTTGGAGTGAAGTTTCCTCCCTAAACTTCCGTCTCTTCGAGTTGGCTTGTCGGATTAAACACGACTCAAAATTGTTCTGATGTAGGTTCGGTGGAAGCACATACTCAAGACAGTTCAGTATATTTACAAATTTATACAGACTATACAAGTTGGAAACACAGGATAGACAAAGCGTGATGCCTCATGTTCCAGTTTGGACTTTGGGAAATTAAGTCCATGGGGGTGATCACCCACATGCTGTAGAAGTAGGTATGAATTATCATGATAATTGGCTGCAGCTGTCACGTGATTTTTATGTCACCGTCTCTCTTTCCTCTGGAAGAAGCACGTGGTTGCATTATATAAAATAGATATAAAAATGGCCCGGTGAAGCTATTAGGATATTTTTTCTGAGACTAAATCACAGAACGATGATTAATAATTTAAAATTAATGATACATTGATCCAAACTAAACGTAGCATCAGAAATGATTATAAACGAGCAATTATTTGTGACATCGTCACAATGCCGGGACTGCAAGTTTTAATCATATTTTTTAATTAATTTAATTTAAAATATATTCTCTCCACCTGAAATTAGTAGTGACTTGCCCCTGTGCATCATACTTTCCCTTTAACAATAGAGTCGTGTAGGTCATCTATTTAACATATTTCAGGAGAAAATTTTTGAATTTAAATAACGTGACTTCTGATTTCCGTCAGAAGTTTCTATATAGTTAATCGGGTCTTTCTGCCCCTAAGGTTTCAATATCTATCTCAGCGTTCATCTATCTTACTCCATTCTTGAGATTAAGAAATGACAGACAGACCGACAGTCGGCAGTGGGAAATTATAAGTCTACAATTTTTTCAAATTGCAGCCCAACAAATTTAGTAACGAGGGGACCACACGACGTCGGGGGTCACCGATTTTGATCAAACTCGGTGAGATTATAGTGCATACTCATGACTGACATGTGCCCAGTAGTAAGGCGCAATACTCAAAATTAATGGAGAAAATCCAAATCACTTAAAACCTATAGAATTTCTGTCATTTGTAGAGTTGCCATTACCTCGGTGGGGGCACGCCAACCAATGTCATAATTATGTGGTTGGAGTTTAGAATTGTAGTGATCAATTTGAGTTTTTTCCCGTAAAACTGTAATTTTCACTTTATTCTTGGTACTTTTAAATTTATTATATTGTCAGAGGAAAGAAAAACTAATTTATTTCTAGAAAACTACAAATGCACAATAAACATGGTATTAAAACAACAAAATCTGTTTCAAGTCAATGTCAAAAGCAATTAACAAGTGCTACCTAACAATAATTATTTAAAAACGGCATATTCATATTCAGTAGATACTTACGCTGGCAACAAATTCATTGTTTAACTTAAATAGATCTATAATTGCATCTTCGTTAAAGAACGAAAAGATGGCTTCAATATCTCGTGCTGATATCAATAGCATAGAAAAGTGTTCTGCAGAAGAAACACTACACGACAATATTACAAAATTTACATATTGTGAAAGCATCCTTCAAAATCAAGATTTATTCACCATGCATACAACCAGGGCTGTGGAGTCGCGTAAAAATCTACCGACTCCAACTCCGACTCCGACTCCGACCAGGGGCGGACTTGTTACCGAAAGAGACCCGGAAATTCTGATGTCATCAGGTGACCTCAGAATAAAAGATTCAATAAATAGAGTTGTAATAACGATAGAGCGTAGAAACTTTTTATTCCAAAGCTAAAAGACTTCTCTAAGTAATATATAAACATGTATTCGATAATTTTTACTTTTCCGGCTGTTATATTTAACAGAGGAAACATGTAGCGCTCGGTCAAAAAATGACCCCTCCCAAATTTTTATATTTTTGGACTCAGGATACCTTGAAATTTCGAGATATGCAAAAGATTCGAGGTCTTTTTCTATGTGTGGATGTTGGACTATGTGGGGGTGCATGATTTTGTTCACCCTGTTTGAAGCCTAATAATTTCTGAGTGGTTGTAACCGGAGTCAGATGGTTTAACACAGGAGTTAGTTATTAAGCGTCAAAGTGGTTGAACTAAATCATGTCCCCATACATATTCTAACATCTTAGGCGAGGATATCTTAACGGGTTTTACTGTACTATTATAAAATGGCAAAAAAAGCTTACTTTGAGGGTAGAAACGAGTTTTATTTTATTTTTTTAAATTTTGCACGCTAATAACGAGTAAAATATTCATTAAGAGATATGACACATGACTCCTTTTATGTCTTCACCCTGTCGACCTTTAATTAAGAACCAAAATTCAATAGTATTAATGCCCCTTTATACGCAAGCTACAGTGCCACACTTCGTTTCTTAAACTTTACCCGTTCTGAGATATTGTTTAATATCTAAGAACAGAAAATAAAGAAATTAAACAAATTAGACGCCAACACATTCACTCGCGCAAATTTTTCTCCTTTATTGACTTTTTTGAGGGGTTCGGGAAGTCTCCAAACGTGTAGATTTGCAAAAAAAAAAAAAAAAAAAAAAAAAAAAAAAAAAAAAAAAAAAAAAAAAAAAAAAAAAAAAAAAAAAAAAAAAAAAAAAAAAAAAAAAAAAAAAAAAAAAAAAAAAAAAAAAAAAAAAAAAAAAAAAAAAAAAAAAAAAAAAAAAAAAAAAAAAAAAAAAAAAAAAAAAAAAAAAAAAAAAAAAAAAAAAAAAAAAAAAAAAAAAAAAAAAAAAAAAAAAAAAAAAAAAAAAAAAAAAAAAAAAAAAAAAAAAAAAAAAAAAAAAAAAAAAAAAAAAAAAAAAAAAAAAAAAAAAAAAAAAAAAAAAAAAAAAAAAAAAAAAAAAAAAAAAAAAAAAAAAAAAAAAAAAAAAAAAAAAAAAAAAAAAAAAAAAAAAAAAAAAAAAAAAAAAAAAAAAAAAAAAAAAAAAAAAAAAAAAAAAAAAAAAAAAAAAAAAAAAAAAAAAAAAAAAAAAAAAAAAAAAAAAAAAAAAAAAAAAAAAAAAAAAAAAAAAAAAAAAAAAAAAAAAAAAAAAAAAAAAAAAAAAAAAAAAAAAAAAAAAAAAAAAAAAAAAAAAAAAAAAAAAAAAAAAAAAAAAAAAAAAAAAAAAAAAAAAAAAAAAAAAAAAAAAAAAAAAAAAAAAAAAAAAAAAAAAAAAAAAAAAAAAAAAAAAAAAAAAAAAAAAAAAAAAAAAAAAAAAAAAAAAAAAAAAAAAAAAAAAAAAAAAAAAAAAAAAAAAAAAAAAAAAAAAAAAAAAAAAAAAAAAAAAAAAAAAAAAAAAAAAAAAAAAAAAAAAAAAAAAAAAAAAAAAAAAAAAAAAAAAAAAAAAAAAAAAAAAAAAAAAAAAAAAAAAAAAAAAAAAAAAAAAAAAAAAAAAAAAAAAAAAAAAAAAAAAAAAAAAAAAAAAAAAAAAAAAAAAAAAAAAAAAAAAAAAAAAAAAAAAAAAAAAAAAAAAAAAAAAAAAAAAAAAAAAAAAAAAAAAAAAAAAAAAAAAAAAAAAAAAAAAAAAAAAAAAAAAAAAAAAAAAAAAAAAAAAAAAAAAAAAAAAAAAAAAAAAAAAAAAAAAAAAAAAAAAAAAAAAAAAAAAAAAAAAAAAAAAAAAAAAAAAAAAAAAAAAAAAAAAAAAAAAAAAAAAAAAAAAAAAAAAAAAAAAAAAAAAAAAAAAAAAAAAAAAAAAAAAAAAAAAAAAAAAAAAAAAAAAAAAAAAAAAAAAAAAAAAAAAAAAAAAAAAAAAAAAAAAAAAAAAAAAAAAAAAAAAAAAAAAAAAAAAAAAAAAAAAAAAAAAAAAAAAAAAAAAAAAAAAAAAAAAAAAAAAAAAAAAAAAAAAAAAAAAAAAAAAAAAAAAAAAAAAAAAAAAAAAAAAAAAAAAAAAAAAAAAAAAAAAAAAAAAAAAAAAAAAAAAAAAAAAAAAAAAAAAAAAAAAAAAAAAAAAAAAAAAAAAAAAAAAAAAAAAAAAAAAAAAAAAAAAAAAAAAAAAAAAAAAAAAAAAAAAAAAAAAAAAAAAAAAAAAAAAAAAAAAAAAAAAAAAAAAAAAAAAAAAAAAAAAAAAAAAAAAAAAAAAAAAAAAAAAAAANAAAATTACGTTTTAGGGAGCGGCAAAATTTCACAATAAATAATAATAATATCTTGTAAGAATTTGAACCAATTTATTTCATATTTTCGTCCACCTACGACTCGGACCGATTGAAATGAGCACGGAATAGTGTTACCATCCACCCGGATAGTCCGGGAATCGACTCGCCGTCCGGGGATATCGTGAGCAACCTGTTGACCTTTTTTTTTTTGCTTGTACGATTAATTCGTATAGGCCTATATATATACACCTCCAGTATCCAATACAGCTAGGTCACTTGCGTTACTCTTATCCAAGTCTCCCTAGTCGCTAACTGTAACTGATTTAGAACCAGCATACACTGCACATTATTCTTCGCATTGCAAAATGACATACGCATGCGTCAAGAACTTCTATTCGAACAAA